AAAATAAACAAAACGTACTACCACCACCAGAGGAGAGGACTGTGGAAGGAATCACAGAATCAACAGAATACCATCTTTACATCGGTATGTTGGAGGAAGATTCAGAGGACTCACCAGAACACCCTCGAAATTACTCTTGGACACAGGATCAAGTATTAATATAATTAAGCAGGGAGTAACTAATAATCCACTGATAGAACAAAAACACGAAATTCTAATGAAAAACGATATTCATAGATCAGAATACGGAACTAAATTTAATGTATAAGGAAAAGAACATATGTTCCATGTCGCACTCAATTCTTTCCTATCCTAGAAGTGGAATAATTGGCCAACCATACATTTCTAAATATAGACATGCAATAACAACTACCAACTTGATTTTATGTAACAAAGGAATAACAACCCAGCGATGGTATGTTTCATTAACAATAGTGAGCACAAAATCCAAGATGATGTAATCGAAATCAAAAACCCAAGTTTAACTTATAGAATTAAAGCATTAAAAACAAAAATCAGATTAGATCATGTAGAATCACGATACGGGAACCATTAGAAAAAATAATTCTCTCTTATAGTTCAGATTTTCCTATAGACACAGACTCTTTACCTACCTGACGTCCCATCAAATTGATGTTAAAATCATCAAGCCTATTAGTGCAAGGTCCTATCGACCATCTGAATGCCGCCGAAATAAAATTAAACAACATATTAACGAAACTTTAGATAAAAAAATAATAGAATCATCCGACAATCCCTATAAAAAATCGTCCAAAAAATTAGATCCAACAAGCAAATGAAAATGGCGAATTGTTACAGATTTCAAAAAGCTCAATGGAATTATTGACCAGGACGCTTATCCCTTGCCCGACATAGATACGATTTTGTATTTCAAAACGGAAATGCAAAATTCTCCTCGGCCTCAGATCTCTCATGCGGATTTCATCAGATACCGATGCAACCAAATTCAACAAAATATAATGCTTTTTCAACACCTGAAGGATATTTTCAGTATAATCGAATGCCATTCTGACTCAAAAACGCGTACGAATCTAGCAATAATACTCCAACGACTGACAGAATTAAATTTAAAATTATACAACCTCAAAAATGTGAATTTTTAAAACCTGGTCTATATTTGGGCCACGCTATTAGTAAATATGGAGCAAACCAAATAAAAAGAAATTGAAGCTGTATAAGAATTCAGATCAGAAAACTTAAAGAAATTAAACAGTTCTTAAGTCTCGCCGGTTATTATAGGAAATTTATTCGAAATTTTGCAAAAATATCTGAACAATTATCAAAATTAATAAAAAAGGACGAACCTTACAGATGGACTGATGAGCAGCAGATAGCTTTTGATACATTCAAACTTAAATAATGTGAGGAACCAGCTCTGAAATATCCCGACTCTAATAAAGAATTCGTATGAAGTACCGACAGTAATGAGGGATTAGGAGCTATATTGTCTCAAAATGGACATCCCAGGTTTTACATATCACGGACACTTAATGATGCAGCAACACATTATACGACGACGGAAAAAGAATTATTAGCGGTAGTCTGGACTATGCAACGAATAAGA